TCAATATGGCACTTGGAAAACTCTTTCTAAGCACACACGAAGAGGGAGGAGAAAAGTCATTTTTAAACTTTGCAAATAAGTAATATTGTCAAAGCACTAAATATTCCGCACCTGCCTTACTGACATGGGAATTTTATTGTGACGACTGGGTTCCAATTTTGGTCTCATGTCTATTGGTAGCTGAGCCTGTTTACAGAAACAAAACACGACCATATGTTTCAAAAATTCAGACATACAAAATATTATATTAAGTTCCGCACAAGAAACTGAAAATACATACTAGCAATGGATAATTTCCTTTAAGCACAGCCAAGTCTTCGTCCTTTTTGTTTGCTGCACTGGAACCATCACCAGTTTTCCTAGCAAGAACTTCTAGGGCCCATTTTCTTTTATCAATTGCATTATTGGATGTAGAAGAAACAGTATTCTGTGGTCTACTCTTAGAACCAACTGATGCTTCTGAGTTTCCACTATGATTTCCTTTACTGGAACCCGCAGCACTCTTTGAGGCAGACACGGAACAACTATTCCCTGCATTTACTGCTAGAGGAGGAATACCAGCCTTCGTTGGAACCTTACTAGTCCCTGTGAGTGGATCTTTCTTCTGATCCAAAGAAGAAGAAGATTTGAAAGCCGAGAGAGGCTTGATGTCATTATTCCGTGGGAAGACGGATGTATCTGCTACATATAATCGAGAAAGAATCGGATTTGTGGGCTGGCCTTCAGAATCTTGTTTTGCATCTGGACTCCTTGGACCATTTCTTAAGAGGTCAAGGACGGATTTCAAAGTTGCAATCTTTTCAGGCTTTCTCACTCTTATGCAACGATGCTTCCAGAATTCAATTTCACAGTCTCGGTCCCAAGCACGCTTCCTTCTTCCATTTGTAGCCCCATATATTTTCTTTGTCAGACTCTCACGTATTTTCCCCTTCTGCAATAATGATTTTTTCGCCTTCACAGCCAAAGCTGATAATCTTTTCTGAGTCTCGGTTTTAGGGCCTGATATTGCAGCCCTGAACGCATCAAGTAGCTTAGAATCCAAAAGGTTTTCCCCAAAATCTTTTGCGCATTTGTTGCGAACTGCTTCTCTTATTTCATTTCTTAGTTTCTGAACTAGCATGGATGATTCCTGATCCTCACCAGCTCTTCTCATGATCTTTTTGACTCTCAAACCAGTCAAATTTTCTCGCTCATCCAACTCTTCATCATTAGAATTTGAGCATGCCCCCCTTCCTGGAAGGGGCCTGCGGTTTCGGCCCCGAACTATACTCATTATATCAGCATTGACACCTTTCTTTCTTGATATTCGCTTCAAGCTGGCTTCTGTAGGAACTAATGGCCTAGCCAAACTCTTTGCAGTATCATCTTGCTCAGTTAGCTCCACATCATTTTTAGAAGGAACTGGTTGATTCTTCCCCAGAACAAGTTTTATATCAGAATTGGCTTTATCACCTCCATTATCAGCAGTCTTCTGGATGTGATCACTGAGGGATTTCAGGAACAATCATGACAACAGATTATAAGATTCAAATTTAGTCTAAATGGAAATTGTAGAATATAAGTCAAAGAAGCATGTACATCTAAGTAGATTTCAATTAGCATTGGTCAAAAAGTGCAGTTGAAACACAATTCATCAACTATAGAGGTTCTGGAGCAAAACAAGAGTACGTTTGGAAATCTAAGGCTTATTAAGCCTGAAGTTCTTAATGGGCTGTAAAAACTTAATATTTTGGTTTGGAATGGTGAACTTTCTTTGTCATCCAGAGATGGGAGGTGAAGAATAAACTGAGTATCAGCTCCTAAAGCGAAGGAAGCTAGTCAATTCATAAATTGAGTTGGCATCAAAAGTCAGACATTAAGTGGGTTAATGTTGATATTGTTTTAGACGAGACAAAAAAGAAAGAGAACAAAGAAGTATTTACACCAATAGGCGAGACAAAAAAGAGAAGAAAAAACTGTTATTAGATAACAACATTGAAACAGTCTGATAACACATTGCGAGGAGTGAATTGCTGGGAACTTTTTTTTTCTTAAGAAGCAGACTTTTCATTGATAAGCTGGAAACTGTCCTATAAATTTGCATTTGATAGTTTATAGAATTAACCTGCAATCTGTGCGTTTCCTCTTTACACCAATAAGTATAGATGCTTCCGGGGTGGTTTGAGATGCGACATTATCAACTGAAAATATCCAGAAAGAAGTGAGTACAGAAACACCACGAACTCCTTCTTAGTTTCCAAAAACTACATAAAGAGGTAAAACAATTTTAACTTTTCTCTGGACTTGCAATAATTCCCAAAAGCAACAGAGGAAATACTTCCGTACCTTGTAACAAGTGTCCTTCTGAAGAAAACAACTCTGGCTTAACGTGAACACTTCGATCCCCATTTTCATCATTCAAGTAATCAACTAAAAATGCATTAAAAATAACAGCAATGAGCTAAGCCTAAACATAGAGATAAATTTCCTGTTGATTGATATCTTTAGATGGAAAAATACCAGACAAGAATGTGCCCACAGATAAACCAAGATGAAGACCCATGCTCAATTCATCTTTAGACATTTTGTTTACAGGGTGGGATATATTTGAGGAACTTCTGGTGCTTTCAAGGCTACTTGACTCGGTCTTAATTTCATCAGCACTTGTTTTCAACCCAACATCTGTAGGGGAATCATAATGAAAACTGATGGGAGTATCATGTGACAAAGAAAGTTCCAATTCTTTGTCCCCAAGTGCTGGAAAAGCAGAAGTAATTTCCATTGATGGGGTTGGCAGAACGAGAGTATTCTCCAATGGTGATACAGTGGCATTTGGCCTACTAGCTTCCGAAGCCAATGTGAAATTTTCAATTTTTTTATTTTTTTCAATTTCATCGGTTGACAAAGTGTTATCAGTTTGTACTTCATTAACCTGATTTCCTCCAATCATTGAGACAACCAATGCTGTCTCTCCAGTATCAGCAACGGATACAGACACCTTTCTGGAAAAACTTTGTGCAACCGAAGCATTCATTAAATCAAAGTCACTGTTAAACTTCAGAGCTGAAGCATTGATAGAAGTTTCCTGATCAATAGCCCCACATCTGCAGGAAAACCATAATACAGATGTGACAGACAAATAAAGAAGAGGCAAACCCAGGACTGGGTAAATCTGGGTTTAGTTTGAAGAATGTAATTTGAACTTGTAAGACTGGTCATTTTATAGGACTAGTTGAGATTCAAACATTTTTTCTAAAGGACCTACATAAATGCTATGTCAAATCTTATCTTCAATCACCTCGCATATTAAAAACAAGGCTGAAAGAAGCATGCGCTGCACAATAATACTTTAGATGCGGGGTTTATAAACTTATCAGAAAAAAGCTGAAAAAAACATTTCCTGCACAATCGGTCATTGTTATTACATTTATAGTAGTTTCAAGCTTTTACAGTATGCATGAAAACCAGTCTGAATTAAACCAATAGTTACGAAGCATAAAGGAGTAAGTAAATCGATTACTCTGCATCCAATAATGGAAACTGCAAAATCTAGAAAGATAATGAAACAACAGTTTCTCTGACTAACCTTGGGCATAACCATGTACTTTCAGTTGTATCTTCAGGATCAAAATCAACACAGAATGCATGATACCTGTCCCCATACAATTAAAACATGAACTTATGGAATAAAAATCAATACAATTCAGTTTTGAACTCAATCACATAACACAAATCAGTAAATCATGCGACATAATCATTGTATCCAAAACAAATAGAGATAATGGAGAGAGAAAAATGAACCCAAGGTATTAAATTGCCTTGCACCAATGTAAGGAAACGGGATGGGGAAGCTAACCCAGGGAAAAAAAAAGTTAATTAAATAATCAGTAATATAAAAAAAAAATAAAGAAAGAAAAAAAGAAAAAGAAGCAACTCAGTTGACTACTTTTTTTGAAATTTTAAATGATGTGAATTGACGGAAGGGAACTCCAGCTGATCACACTAAGAAATCACCCGAGTGTTGGAGATGCAATTGTTTCTTTCTAATCAAAACAAACAAAAGAAAGCTAAAAAATCCAGAGCCATAATATTTCCTTTTCTTCTTGAATGAAGAGCCATTGTCCAATAGAAAGCCTTGAGCCTTAAGGATGGTGCCCCAAAACTCTGGAGCAAAGTTGCATTTAACAAAGATGTGGTCCTGAACTTTGTTACTATTTCTACATGGGACACACCATCAAGGCAATAAGGAGCAGTTCAACTGTCTCTTTTGGATCACCTTGTGAATTGATGCCGCCTTTGTGACTAAGCTCCCAAAAAAAATCTGGTCTTCGGGTATTTGAGAAGTTACAAGCATGGTTAAGAAAGGGATGCTTCTTATAGGAAATACCACCGAACAAAGGCAATCATAAATATATTATATATGTAGATCATATGCTTAAACATGCATGCAAATACATGTATATATGCACATGAGAACATATGAATATTATGCAAGCATCAATGCATGTGTGTACGAAGGGCCGAATGCTCCAACTTTACCATGTATCACAAGAGTCACAAGCAATTGAGGTATCAAGATCAGATTCTCCTTCAGTAAACCCAGATCCATTTCTAATCTTACAGCCATCACCATCCAAGCAGATAACTGCCTACAAAATGAAGCAGTACATTAGTAATTATACATCGGACTTTCAATTATTTAATACTATAATATAACAGTAAAAGTGGGTAAACATTTTCCAGGGCAATAAAGTTTCCATCCTTTATTTCTAGTAAATTTGAAAAAAATTTAGTGGTGTACCAAATTTGAAATTTCCAGGGCAATATTTATGTGAACGTTACTTTTAATAATACATGATCAAGCTGGAACTAAGTCTCCTTAATATAAAAAATTTATTACCTCACATCTTTTAAACTTTAGCATATAAAGAAAATAATATGGATATTCAGCGTAGACAAGTATAGGTTTCAATCGAACTACTTATTTCCGTAACTATTGCTTTCGTTTCTTCTTTTTTTTCTTTTTACGAAAAATGAGAATTGCATTAAAAGGAGAACAATGGGGGAAACAACCTAGAGGCCGGGGTAGAAGGAGCCTCAGCCTTGAACATAATAAAAGAACGTTTTCCAGTTGTTAAAGACTGTAGTAAGGTTTTAATACAAGAGAATTTCCTGTGACTAGACGCCCAACTAGAAACTGTATGCTGTTTACTTAAAAAAACTAAAGATAAGAAGACTTATCCTCCAAGACCCTCTGATTTCTTTCCAGCCAAACGTGCCACACCAGTGCCCTGACCACACAAGACCACAAAATGTTGGCCCTTTGGGCATTTTCCACCCTGAACACACCTCTAGGAGTCAGCTTTCTTTAGATATCGGCAAACAACCACTCACCCCGAACCTATTCATGAGGGAGAACCAACCATTGGCAGCAAATAGGCAATGCAGAACCAAAAGATCCAGATTCTCCTCTTTTAAGGCAAAGACAGCACACCGACAGTGAGAGAACCCAGTTCCTGCATTTCTTTTGAACCATTTACCGAGTATTCCAAAATTCTATGAACTATAGACCTCAAAAAAAAACCCTTCACTTTTTAGGGCACTTAAAATGCCAAATAGCATTTAAAATATGAGACTTCACTGAAGAGGCAGAACCCATCAACTTCACAAAAAAAAAAAAACAGAGTTTGAGGAGAATACCCCACCTGCATCAAGAGACTACAAAGCTCGGTCATTGGACTCTCGCAACTGGACAACATCAAGTGCATCAATGAGCCCAACCAAGCTATCCAGCTCCCTATCAAAGAGACCTCTCGGTAGGCTACCAATCTCTCTCCTCACTATTCCGCATCCTGCTTCATCGAAATGGAGAAAGTATCTGGGAATTTCTCATCCAGCATTAGACTCCCCACCCACTTGGCCTTCCAAAATCTAACCTTACTCCCATTATTTACTTTAAAATTAGGAAACCAGAAGAAGTTATAGTTCTAGGAAATTTCTAACCGTGACTTTCCTCTCGCTTTTCCCTTTGGCTCAAAGAGTCTTCCACCCATTTGGCTCTTGACCGTAAACATGACCTATCAACCTTCTGCGAAGAGCCCCTTCTTCTTGAGTGAACCTCCACAACCACTTAGTAATAAGGTGCTGTTTCTTTGCTGGTAGGCTCAAAAACCGAGACCCCCATAAGTAATGGAAGAAAAGTTTTTCCCCAATTCACCAAGTGACTACATGGTTTATGAGTTCCCCCGTCCCAAAAAAGAAAAAAAAAAATCCCCTGTTTCCTGTGTAACTCCCACAAGATCCTTCAGGACCGAAAAATAAAAGAGAGGGAGACTACAAAGAATCGATTGAGTTAGGATAAGATAACCTCCTTTAGAATCCTTTTTGTAAATTAATCAAACACCTGGTCCCAAAAAGATTTTTCCTGAAAATTTACCCCCAAAGGATCCCAAGGTAATTGAAAGGCAAAGCATCAATTCTACAACTTAGCATTGCACTTGTGCCTTCTCTCATCCTCTTCAACATCAATCCCAACAATAACCATTTTATTTAAATTAAGATTAAGGCCTGAACATGTAGAAATATAGAAATAACAGACCATCAATTCTTCGAAATGGAGAAAATATCTGAGAATTTCTCATACAGTGTTATAACCCCCACTCAATTGCCGTTCCATAATCTAGCTTTACTCCCATTACTTACTTTAAGAAGAAACTTGAAGAAGAAGTTATAGTTCTTGGCAATTTCGAACCATGGCTTTCCTCTCGCTTTTCCCTTAGGCTCTAGAGTCTTCCACCCATTTGGCTCTTCACCATAAACACTAGTTATCACCCTTCTCCAAGAGTCCCTTCTTCTTGAGTTAACCTCCACAACCGCTTTAGTAATATTGCGTTGTTTCTTTGCTGGAAGGCTCCAAAGCTGAGACCACCATAACGTAATGGGGGAGAAGTTTTTCCCAATTCACCAAGTGGCTACACTGTTTATACATTCTTCTATCCCAGAAAAAATTCCTCACCAACCTATCCATTTCCTGAGTAACTCCCACAGGAGCCTTCAGGTCTGAAAAATAATAAAGAGGGAGACGAAGAACTAATTGGGCTAGGGTAAGACGACCTCCATTAGAAAGAGTAAGGTTACTTAACTTGCATATCTTTTTGGCAAATTTATCGATCACCTGGTCCCAGAAGGATTCTTTTTTTTTTTTTTTTCCCTAATTTCCCCCAAAGGAATCCCGAGGTAATTGAAAGGCAGAGCATCAACTCATCCTCTTCAACATTAATCCCAACGACAGCTGTTGTAGTTAAATTAAGAGAAAGTTCTGAAGCATGTAAAAAAATAGAAATAACAGACCACCAATTCTCAAGTAAATCTTCTTGGTTTGGTCTGAAATAATTGTATCATCTGCATCTTGAAGATGGGAAATCTCAATTTCAATCATTGCTGCATGAAAGCCCTTGAGAATCATTCTTTAGCAACAAACAGAATCAGCCCTTTAGAATCTTTCCGTAACTACTGCTTTCATCCAAAACTTTTTTATTTGAAACCTTGCAACCCAGCCTCTTTCTCAAATTCCTATGGTGTACCCTATGCTCCATTGCAAAAATCATCTTCAATTTGACTCACATGGCCTTTTCTTGAATAAGATCTCCAAAAATATCCACCCCCCAAAAAAAAGAGAGATATTTCTTTTGCACAGTTTAAGATTTGCACGAACTTGAAACCTAGACCACCCGCCGATTCTCAATGAAAGTTTGAAAACCACAGATTATGATGATCCAGCATTTTCAAAAATGAAAGTTAGTTCATTTAAATTTGAAAAGGAAAAAAATTATAAAAAAAGAAAAAAAGAAAAAGAAGAGCAGCTCAACTTATCAGGACTCCCAAGAAAATTAAAATTATCAAAAAATCTTCTTTTTCTTGTGTAGTGATTGTCAGTTATTATAGAAAATTGGAACAAATGTTGATGAAAATTGACCCCAAAAGTGCTAGGAGGATTAAAAAAGAAAGACAAATTACATTCTCGTCAATATAGTATGATGGAAAAGAGATGTTACTCTTTCCCTCAAAGCACCAATCGTCATTTCTGCAGAGAAGTAGACATGAGATGTTAGTTTACTAGATTTTGAAAAACTAATAAGAGTGAAAATATAAGTGGGATCAATTTGACGATTTACATATAATTCCACATGAAAATTTAATAAGTGTAGCAATTATTACCAATAAATATAAATATGTGAATACCAGGAAACATACTTTAATTCGCTCCAAAGAAAATAAATTGTAACAAGGCCTGGACAGCCAAGAAATCAGCAAGGAGCAATGAGACATGGGCAAGAGGGCTATTATTATCTGTAACCTTTAAAGGTATATTATGCTCACAAGAACAAGCACTGTAGGTTTTTACGAGTGTTTAGGACAACTTGAGTGACCCTTGATGATTCTTACTGTTGTATCTTGTAATCAGATGGTGAAAAAGTAACAGAAAATGGAGTGTGGTGCCATATATTACAGAATATAGATTACGTTCTCTACTCTTCACTAGAATAGGACTCCAATAAATATACATATGTATGTATGTTTGTATGTGCGTATGTATGAGTTTGTACGAACGTAAGAGATTTTTATCTTCTTGTCAATCCTGTGGCAAGAAAAGGCTTAAGGATTTTTTTTTCCTTTTTTCTAGTAGGTTGTTAAGATTTATTCCTCCTCCATCTGGTAAGACCTACTGCTTGAGGCATGCGTAACCACTATGGGAGGTTACTTAACATCATTGCAAATCCCAGAAAATTGCCTCTAAGCTGATTTGATAACTTTTCCACCCAACTTGCTCCATGCACATTACTAACCATCTTGATGAAATTTTGAGTCAACCAACATTGCACAAGCTCCAGTTCAGTAATGTCCAACAGAATAAAAGCTCTTATGCAATGTGAAAACAGCTATTTTTACTTTCTTTTCAGTTTTAAGAGTCCAAATTGCATCATTATTAGAATACAGCTCTGATGAATATGCATCAGTAAATATGATAGTATTCTCCTTTGCTAGCCATTTTGTAACACCATGTATACCACATAAATGCATTGGGGATCAGCATAAATAATTGTACAAATAATAGAACAAATGAAATAAGCAAACCTGCTAAATGATTCTTCATCTACTTTGTTGCTCCCAATAGTATCATACACCTACAAACCAGATCAAGATTTCAAATTTCAGCTATTGCTCGAATTTTTTCTTTATCGAGAAATCAAACTTCCAGCAAGGAAATGAAATAATACGTAACAGCAAAGGCCTGCAACAATGCTAAAAATGTAAGCGAAAGGTATAGCTTTGAGCAAAGAAATGTATAACTTACTGGAACACATGTGATAAGCTGAAATTCTTTCTGGCAAAGTGGACAAAGGTTTGTAATAGTTGCCCAGTTGTCAATGCATACAAAACAGAACCTGAAAGAAGATGGACAAATTGTTATAATTGTAAACCATTTGTAAATGCATACAAAACAGAACCAGAAAATAATATGGACAGAGGATGATAAATTTTTCTTATGAGAATCAACACTTTCCTTAACATGAAAAAATATATATATATACAAAAGAGCATGCAAAAAGACAGCGCAAACCAAGGAGTCACGACGACTACCTATACAAAAACAGACTCCCACCCTAAAGAATAAGTCCTAGCAGATAACTATAGAACTAAACATTGAACCTAGCCGTAGAGACCAAACCTCATCACTAGCTCTCTACTCCTTTAAAAATCCTATTATTCCTCCAATCCAAATGTGCCATAAAACTGCAATAGAATCCAACCCTCAAAAGGAACCATCCCTTGTCTCGAAAGAGGTGGAAACCAAAAGACCTCATGGATCAAAGAACAAAAATCTCTATGCAGGCTAAAGAAACCCCAAACCGCAACAAAATGTGGTCTCAATTCCAAAATGGAAGAGGCTAACAGACATTTCCAAGGGACGTGATCAGACCCTCAACCATACGTCAATAGACAATGCATCAGTGGGTCCTCAACAAAAGAACAAATCTCTAAGCAAGGTCCAATATGTTCACCTTCTCCAGTAAAACCTACCTAGCAAAAAATTTTACCTTCTTAGGAAGTTTCACCTTCCAAAATGAGGAATAAAGAGAACATCTAAGGGCAGGTGCATCCCAAAAATATCTGTCCTCCTCAAACTAACTGGAAAATCCCTTAACAACTATATGAGATTCACTGCGTCAGACGTCTCCCTGTTTGACAGTGGATGCAGAAAACCAAGAGAAGGTTTATAATTCTAACCCAATACTCGATGCATACAAAACAGAACCTAAAAATAAGATGATGGAGGTTTGTACTTGAAGCCCAATTGCCAATGCATACAAAAACTGAACCTGAAAATAAGATGGTGAAAACATCTCTCCTACCCTCTCTCCTCTCTCCTCTCTCCCTCCCTACAATGAAGGCTTTGGAGCCTTGCAACTTGAATCTACTGTAAAATAGACAGCCTTTCCACATATCTCCCTCTAGTAAGTAGCATCATATATCGACGTTCTTAACGAAAGCAGTAAAGCAACACAAGTTGACAAGGGTATTTATCTGGGTGACATGGTTCAACAAACATAATAACACCAAAATAAAGCTGAAAAAAATACATAAGATCTTTTGAACACAATGAATAGTGATGACCACTACATGATTGTGGACAATTGGAGTTGACATAGGTACACCTTGAAAGTTGGAGTAGCTACTAATAAAGGCACTTGAGCTTTGTAAAGGACCGGCCAACTTTATATGGTGGATGAATCAAGTTCTTCAATCCTTTATCGATAAATTTTCAATGTTGATGACATCATGCAAAGAGCATGTCTGAATCAGATCACTTGTATCATTGAAAGGGAGGTTATTCAGGAGCATTACACGTAAGCAAACTATTTAGCGTAACCAAATGCACCACTAGCAAACTTCACTTCTTAGGAAATGCAGTAGGTGAACAAGCGAGAGAAAATCCAAATTGGAAGTACTATAGTAGTGATCAATGACTGCTACTGTGAAAGAAATTCAAAGCTTCCATAGATTGATCACACTTCACCGGAATTTCATCACAAATTCAATTCAATAGCATCGTCCCTCGTTATTTATTTCTTTTTCTCGTTAATTAAAAAAAACATACTTTGGGTAGGGGAACAAAAGGATATCTGCAACCTCCTAGACTAACCTCAAATTTTTCTCAGCGAACTACGTAGTTCTGGGGCTTGATTTTGAAGAAAATTTCGCGAGACTTGATGAGCACAAATTGTGACGGATAAGAGGCAATGCCAAAAAGAATTTCAAGAGGGTATTTGGTTGGCCAGTTAAATAATAGTAATGAAAGCAATTCTTAGACACAATTATAATGATGTCCCTATTCACAACTTCCTTTTCCTTCTCATTAACCTTCATTCCACAAGTATCGTTAAGTTTATACCAGTTTCTCAACCTGGATGGACGCTCAGCCTTTGACCAGCTATGCAAAAGGTTTCATACCTAAGCTAACTGACACCTCCTAAGAACTAGTCACCACACACCTACTAAACTCCAAAATTAACAGAAAGCCTTTCAGCCATCTAGGTTTCTATTTCTAGGAACTTCAAATCTATTTCCGCCACTACTAATTTCAAGCATGAGAAAGAGAGCTCATGAGAAAGAGGAAGCCCTTATGCACACCT